CCCGCGGGAGGGCGCGGGCCAGGCGGGGCCGCGCGGCACAGCGCCCCCTGGCGTCCCCCGCGGGCGCTCCCGCCGGGCAGCCGGGAACGGGAATGGCACTGGGAAAGGAAATGGGAATGAATAGGAATGGGAATGGCACTGGGAATGGGAAGATGCGGTGGTAACAGAGGGACCGGGCAGGCCCCACCGCTCCGCACAGGCGCGGGGGCAGGCACTGATCCCTTCTCTCTGCGGACCAGTGACAGGACCCGTGGGAATGGCCTGAAGCTGTGTAAGGGGAGGTCTAGGCTGGGTATCAGGCAAAGGTTTGGCACCCAGCGGGGTAGCTGACAGAGTTCAGGATGTGTTTGGACAACACTCTCGGGCACAAGGTGCGACCCTTGGTAATGGTCCTGTGCAGGGCCAGGAGCTGGGCTTGACGATCCTGCTGGGTCCCTTCCAACTCAGAATATTCTGTGATGCTGTAGTAACCCCCGTGGCTCGTGGCCAGTTGGTTCCCGGCCAGAGTCCACAGCGCTGCCTGGCTGCTGCAGAGGCAGCACTTATCCCAGGCTCCCTGCACGGCATGGGCATGTGGGAGGCACCCCAGAGCTGCCTGGCTGTGCCGAGCGCATGCACAGCGAGTGCTCTGCTGGCCAGGCAGGGAGGATACTTTGTGAGCCAGCTGTGGGCCATCAGGGACCCATCCTGGACACAGGTGAAGCCTAGGTACTTGTGTGCACCTACAGCAGTGGTGGGGAATCTCCAGAAAGCAGGGGATGACACCTCTGTCACCATCTCTGGGGAATGCAGGTTGCCTGCAGCTACCGCCAGGATTACAGGGAAGAGAGGAGACTGACTCATCCCAGCTCCAGCCCAGGGCACGCTTCCTCAGTGGTGCTTCTCTTGGCTGTTGCATCCGGCCCACCATGTGCAGGAGCCAGACTGGATCCGTGCCAGAGGACTGGAAATAGCAGGTTGCGAGAAGTGGTTGAGAAATTGAACTCCTGAGTTGTGGCAGGAGCCATGTCCTTGGATTTCGGAGTCTGACAGAGGAAAATGACCCAGCAGCATGGCTCACGTGTGGAATGCATAGAGGATTTGGCAATACTTCTTGCTCCAGCAGGTCTCAGAACTGCTTGGTATTGAGAAAGAAGCCCTCTGATGGGAAGCCCGTGCCTGTGTGCATGCAGAAGGCTCTCCAGGAGTCCCTTCTGCACACAGCAATTGCATTCTGCAGAGGCTGAAACCAAAACATCCACAATAGGGGAACTGTCGGCAGCACAATGGTGCAGGACCACGAGGTGGACACAAGTCCTGTGGGCAGGGCACGGGTTAAGCAGGGCCAAACCTCTCGGAGGGAGGCTGTTCACAAGTGAGCTGCTGAAACAGCTCCTGTCACCAGCTCGGTGCTCATCGCTGAGTGCTGAAGTTCACACAAAGCCCTTGTTGGCGCTGCCTCAACCTCTCTGATGCTGCTTCTGCAAACCTGAATCATCCTTCAGAGACCTCCAGTCTGGAAAGCCTTTCCTGTCTGGTGTGTTTTCCTTTTGCTCTGAGGCGCTCTTTGTGTTTGATTGGAGTGTGGAGTTGACCTCAAGTGTCAGGCTGCAAAGGGAGGTAAAGATCTTCTAAGGCAGAAATGTAAACATCTCTTCCAGTTTTCTTCTTTTTTCTTTCTTTCTTCTTTTCCCTAGATCTGGGATAAAATAAATTGCTGTCCCCTGGATACTAGTGATTCTCCCACTCCTGCAAAGTCCCAGAGATGCTAGGGCTCTCTCAGTTTTCCCAAATTATAAGTCAGGCATTAATGCCTTCAAGCACAGCGGGGAAAAGAACAGAAAAGAGCCTGGAACAAACACTGCTCTGCAGATCCTTTTTCTGTCCCTAACGCTGCTCCTCTGCAAGTGCAACCCAAGGGCTGAGTTTGCGAGACTGGGGGCTGAGGCTGTGCCTCTCCCTGGGTATTCCTGCAGCCTTTCAGGCACTCCTCACAGCCGACGGACACCTTACCAAAGGCTGCATTTCCGGGCCACTGCCAGTTCAGCAAACCTCGGGGGAGCCTTGCTTGCAGAGAGTCACGCTGCGTGAAACCCTGGAAGGAGGAATTAGAACAACCTTTTCGTGGAGTGTGGACAAGGCCACGGGTCTGAGGAACGCAGTGTGGGTAGGAGAGGTTTCTGCACAGCACTCACCAGTTATTCCCGATGCGCTCCAAGGGCACGGCCATTGAACAAGGAGCGACGTGGGGGTGTGGATGAGAGCAAGGCTCCCACCTTGCTCCTCTCGCACGCTCTATTCTCTTTTCACACTGAACAAAAAGCATTATGTCTCTCCATTTCCTTTCTTTCTCTTTCTTCCCCCGGAGCTGCCCAGGTGGTGCGGGGGGCGGCGGGGAGCGGGGAAGGGCGGAGCGGGAGCCGCTGCCCTCGGTTCCGCCCCGCCGGTGCTGCCGGTGCTGCCCGCCGCCCCCGGCCGGGCCCGGGACAGCCAACTGAGCACCACGCCGGGAAGGCAAACGAAGGGCAGGGTGAGACACCTGCCTTGTTACCTGCTGCCGGCACGGAGCGGACATTTGGGGCAGGAGGGCAGGAAGAGCGCGCCCGAATGCCGCAGGGGCCCCGCGGCCGCCTGGAAGACAAAGAAATCCTCGCTGGCAGAAGTCGGAGCTCGCCACAGCCATGTCCTCATTGGCTCCCTTCGTCTGTGCCTCTTACGTAATGCTCACCCAACAACTAACTCCGACCTCGGATGAAGGGCACCCTGAGTGAAGGACAGCTCTGATTTGATCTTAAATGTGAAAATTCATATTTGGGATGCTACAGCCGGCTTGTGGTGGCTGCAGCCTGCGTTGTGTGGCAGCGATTACTTTCAGACTATTTTGCTCGTGTTAAGAGTGTGTCTGTCACAGTGTGAGTGAGAACCACGACCTCCATCTGTGCTGCGTTAGCAAAGAGAGGCTCACAAAAAAATCACGATTGAAAACATCCCTCCGCTTTCCAGTCTTCCGACAGGCTGTGTCACCCCTCGTCATTCCCTTCTACTGCTCTTGCTTCTTCTCCTTGTGTTACCTACCCTGCTTCCAGCCCTCCTGCAGGGCTTATTTTAAATATGCTGCCTCTCAGGAAGCCATTTCCCAATGCAAAGGTGGCCGGTGGTTGAATTCTTGGGTATTTCCTCTTAAATTCGGCATACGGCATCATGAAAGAAGAACAAAGCGGGTTATCTGCCAGGATTTTTAATGGACACAGTACAGAAAGATGAACAGCGTGGGTTAAATACATAAATGCATTCAAACACGTTCCCTCTGCACACTGAGATTTTGCTACTTTTGCTGTAAGTGAAAGGATGGATATTTTGTATTTATGTAAATCTAAGAAAATTTAATGCAAATACACATCCTTCTGCTCTTTTGTTATTCAGCAAACAGTTTGGAAGAGGTTTGGAACCACTTAGGAGTTAGCTCAGTAAATATAATTCTTAAAATACCCAGTTATTGTGTTTTGCTTCTGCTCAGAAAATGGCTCACAGTGAGTTAGTTCAGCCTTCAAAATAAACACAAAAGTCACCGTCCCCTCTGCCCCCCATCAGAAGACAGTGACATGACTAGCAAGGTAATAGACCAAAATGCATAAATAATTGCTTCTAGGTGCATTCACCCCGCGTTTGCTGGGAGCAGAAAAACAGACACCACGCATGAAAGCCCAAACACATCTCAACCACGTGCTCACGTATGATGGCACACGCCAGCAAGCTCAACGCACGCCTCAGTAGAAAATACCATACTTTCTACGCTCACAGAAGTAAGAGAATGTATCAGAGGGAAAATATCCCCTCCGTACACAGGCAGGTATGTACTGCACCTAAACACATGCACACACCTGCATAAACACCAAGCACAAACAGGACACAGCACCAAAACTGTGACACTGGACGGAGAAAATGACATTCCCATTGTTGTCTGGGCTGCAGGCAGACACGAGAGCGTCTGTTCCACACAACGATCTGTCATGTGAGTTCTGCAGCTCCCTCGTTTTGTCGAAGGACACAAGTCCCCAAAAAGGATGGAATCTATTCTGCTGAGCTGGCAAAGCGACTACAAAGAGTAGAGAACACTCTGAGCAGGGACTGGCATCTGCAGAGCGCACAATGAGTGCACTTGCGTTTGCAACAAAGGGGAAAGCACAGATGGGAGAGAGGAGCGCAGAGAAGCTGCAGATCGATCTGGCAGGCGAAATGCAGAGTGGCACACATCAGCTGGAGGAGCAGAAGTCACAGGGAAGAGCTAGGTGAGACAGTCAGTGGATAGCCTCAGGGCTTGAGGGATGCAGAAGAAGCCCGGGGAATCTCACCACCGGGATCCAAAAGGCAAGAAGAGTCAGAATGCAGAAACAGGCAGGTCACAAGGAATGAAGAAGAATTTCACGTTGGATTTACGGGGAAAAGCAGAGTTGATACAATCATGCAGGGCAAAATGGAAGGTGAAAAACAAAGGAGGGGACGTGAGATGAATTTTGTAGGTAAGATACAGGACGTCACAAAGAGAAGCCAGGGAGAGGGCCATGGGAAGAGTGCTGCCAAGAACACAGGTAGGAGACAAATGCCAAGAAGCAGCAGATGAGGGAAAAATTGCAAAGGGGATGGGGTGGGGAGCATGGAAAGGGCAAGGTGAGGTTGCAGACTGCAGGGGAGGAAAGGAGAGCTCGCTGCTGCCATGCCAGCTTGTCGTGCTGACCCCACAGCTCCATCCCACAGGCTGCTGGAAACAAGATCTCCTTGCACAAACAGGTGCTTGTGCATTTGCATCCGTGGGTGCAGTCTGTGTCAACACAGAGCTTTGGGCACGGGAACGTCTCTGAACATAATCCTTTGCTTTCTCCCCTCTAGGATGTTGTGTCAAGGCCTGTTTGTGCGTTAATGTGAAGATGTCTTTGCCAAGGGATATGTGTCAATGTAATTTTGTGTTTTCAATGGTTGAGTGTGTAAAGGAAAAGGATCCTGGGAAAAAAAAAATCTGGATTGGTGAGGAGAACAGCAGAGCAATGAGCCACACACCTTCTGACAAGCAGAAGCAGAGGGGAACAACATCTGGCCACTATATAGGTTATTTTGGGTCCCATTTTTAGGCGTATGTCTAGAAATTAAGATTTTCTTCATGCAAAAGAGAAGGATGAAAGAAGGCTACTTGAACCAAACCAGGGCTGGAATGCTGATTGCAGCTAGACCTGAGAAATTGGCCAGATGGATTTTGTGAAATAGTAGGGGAAAAAAAAAATTAGTGCATGCATTTTCATAATTCGGTTTATTTTGGTACTAGTGTAGATGTGTACGTCTGAGTTACAGGACTGTTTTTGGGGCAGGCACTGTGCACTGTGTGTAGCTGGGAGGAACGTCAATTAGTCAGATCATGAGAGAAGCAGCTGTTGCTGTGGAGGAGACGACATGACAAGGTGGGGGCCTTCCACCTCCCTGTCACACAGATCATAATTTATCCAATCTCTTCCATACTTTCCTTCGGGAGATACATACTCCATGCCCTATGTTCCAGGAATACCAATGGCTTTTGCTGTTAAATGCTCAAAGTGAGACACATTCGATTAAACTCAAGAGCAGCAGCTCTAAATCCTGGCTTTGCACAGAGGCTGAGTTTGTATCTGGAGGACAAGAAGGGCTTGTGCACCTCAATACATTTTCCATCCAGATGGATTAACAACCTTGCCTTGCACCTGGAGAATGAGTGCATACACGTGTACGTCCAAACGTGCTCATGTGCATGCTCAGTTCTGTCTGTAGGTAGGCCTGCAAACGCATGCAGATTTATTTTCTTTTTTCTGTTGTATGAGCCTGTGACTAAGAGCGGGACAATATAAACCTCCTGGGAAAGATGAAGGGAATTTAGTCATCCCAGTCCGCTCAAGCTGGTAACCAAAGGGCTGAGCAGCGGCTACAGGAACATCTGTTTCATTACCAACAAATCCCTGTAGCTCCAAGAACCTGTGGTTCTTCAGGAAGGATTTCTGGCTAACGGCAGACTTGGGGCTGGGCGATGATCCTTCCCAGCCTGGAGGGAAGCACCGGCACGATGTCTGCCAGAGCCCGGGCCCGAGGCGGGCAGGCGGCAGGGGCCAGTGTCGCAGGCTGGTGGCCGGGAGCGGGTGGCCGGGAGCGGGATGCTGGTGCCGGGCACCGGGAGCGGTTCCGGCGGGACGATGCCCGCGCCCTCGCGCGCCTTCCCGCCGCCCCACGTGCCCGCGGCCCCTCCCGCCTCGCGCTGCGCCAAAGGGCCCCGCGCCCGCGCGCCGGCCGCCGCCAGCCAATGGCAAACCTGTTGCCAGGCAGAGAGCTCATTTGAATGGCCCAATCAGGCGGCCCAGCCCCAGCTCCTCCTTATATGGGGACCGGGGGATGCGATCGCTAATCCGCCCCCCCGCCACCGCCGGCTGCCCCGCCCACTCCCTCCGCCAAGCACCGCCCACCCGCCGCCCGAGGCCCCGCCCAGTCCGTCCGCCGCGCGCGGAGCGCGGGAAAAGCGCCCGGCGCTGGGCGGG